GAAACGTGATCCCTAATCTAACCATTGAAAGCAATTAAATAAAAGGGAGAAAGACGTGGGGTTGGAAGACATGCACACACGCACGCATAGTTATTACAACATTACGCCCTCTCAAAGGAGGGTCCGAATAAATAAGCTAAGCTACACTAAGCTAAGCTAATTATTACAAACCTACTATTTAACTATTCTAAGCTAATTAATTACAATAATTGAAATAAATTAACTAACTATTCTAAGCTAGCTAAAATATTACAAACCAAAACTAAAGAATTAGTTACAGTAACTAATTAAATACAACATCATTGAATAATTAGCCACGCTAACTAATTAAAGCAATTAAGTGGCCTCGCGGGCGAGGGAGACATGCATGCTCGGTCGGCTTCCTCTAGAAAATCCATCGCCTTGCCATCGGATGCCTCTGTTTGCACTCGCCTTGATCTCTGAACATTGTACCAATTTCCAGACTGCCTCTGCTCCAAAACAGGAACACTTTTGCACAAAAATTGATTGGTGGCCAGTCGGCCACAGAAGGTGCCTGTCGGCCACCTTAACTGGCCGGTCAGCTAGTTTAAGTGGCCGGTCGGCCACCCCTTTTTCCAAACTTCTGATTTTGCTGCAACAGAAAACAACAGAGGCAAAGCAAAGCATTTTTCAAGGAATGTGTGTACTGCCACCCTCCTTATTGTTTCTCAAGCTCAAAAGAGTATGGCACTTGGCTCTCAAGCCACCAATCAAGCATTTTCAATGCATGATGGCCAAAAAACCAAGCTCGTACAAGCTTAATGAATGCACAAATAAGACTCTACGAACCACCACCCTATCATGCATGATCAAGGGTGACGATGACCAAGAAAAGTGGCGCGTTTCATCACTTTGAGTATGAAACGTCCCATTTTTCTTGTGTTTAGATTAACGTCTGATCCAAACACATGCAATGCAACATAACATGCTTATCTTGTTTATGTTTTACTTGGTTCATTTTGTTTACACATTTTAGATTACCGATTAGTCCTTTAACCGGTTAAGTCCCAAAGTGAGAGTCCTCTAATTGGAAAGAGGGTTTGAGCCACAAGTACCTTGAGCATGAAAGAGGTCTCATGTTGTTGGTTAGAAGGAATCCTCAAGAGAGGATTAAAACCATTAGGCATGAGGGCCTCAATTCCACACTCAAGCCAACAAGGGGCTCAAGACCACTTTCAAAACAAATTGAAAAATGAAGAATAGAGAGAGGTTGCAGACATTTCAGTGCTGATATGGCATGCAAAATGGTACTACAACATGCAAGCAACTCATGCACAACATGTTCAAAAGCCAAAAGCACCAAACTAGTGAAGAACACTACACTAGAGGCATGCAATACCAAACTCAACTAACCAAACCAGCTCTGGACAGAGTTAAAACATGCCAAACCGTGGCTAAAACATGCTGAGATTGAAGCATAAAAGGCTAGAAAAACATGCTCACATGTTTGGCCGCAAACAAGGCTCAAAGCACAACTCTCAAAAGCAGTGAAAGAGTGAAACAAGTGAGAGTGTGACAGAGCTATATACACTGAAATCATATGTAAAATGACTAGCGTATGCCCGTGCCTGAAGGCACGGTGTAAATAATGATGAATAGCTATCATTGGTGCAATTTCCCCTTTACTGAATTACTAAAATTCTATGGCACCACCTTTGTTTACAACAATTAATTTCTTCATTAATCCATCATGGAGATCGACAAATAATGGATCAAAAATAGTGCATGTATTAAGCACTCAGTACAATAAGGCAAACTTATTGGAAAAGAGCTGTAGATCTAATATAAATTATATAGCCTATGTTTGGGAAGTTGGGTTTAAAGACTTAGCAAAAGAAGCCAAAGAAGCCAAAAATGTTGGGTTTGAGGACTTAGCAAAAGAAGCCAAAAATGTTTTTCAAGTTTCAAAATTATATAATGGTAAATACTGCAAGATAAAAGTCAAACCAGTCATGCACTTCAATGCAATAATCAAACAGCATAAAATATAATCATCAAGTGTAATTCATACTGTTTCTTCCAGTCTATCCACTGGGGGTTAGATTATATATATAAAGCTTAAACAGTCAAATGGGAGGTAAGACAAAACAACCTGTGTTCACCTTTCCTTTCTTAAAAATTAGGAAGAAACATCAATTGGTTGGAGCCCAAGTGTGCCATCAGGAGAAGTAAAAACTTACTTGATTCAGTACATGTGGAAAAAGGGCATAATCAACAAATGCAATTAAGTGCAATTAAGTGCCCTGTAAGTTTTCATGATCAATAATGGAAAAAGGGCATTAAACTTGAAAGAACAATAGACGGGTAATATAATCCTGCTGAGTTGTAGGGCATTACACTTGAAAGAACAATTGAAGTTTGGGTTTTAACATAAATAATAAAAGCATGCCAAATATTTTCAAAAACTGTCATGCTTTATTATATAGATACTCATCCATTTCCTAATACTTTAATAATAATGTAGCTCAAAGAGTTCCCAGAATTTAATCAATTGAGTTTAATCAATGGCAGAATATGACATACTTGCACCAAATACCATTTTCAGTTGCAGCAAGCCACCAATTGTGAACTAATAGCTCAGAGTTTAATCAATGGTAGAATATGACATACTTGCACCAAATAGCATTTTCAGCATCATAAAATATTGAGATTAAAGAAAACGACACTACCATTGAAGATCATTTTTAGCATCATAACAGTTAAGACAGAACCATAATTTTCAGCATCATAACAGTTAAAACAAAACCACTTAAAAATTTGAAGTATGATTCAAACCCAAGAACGAACAAAATCTCACAAACCATAAGAGATAAATTTGTATTTAGATAAACGAACGGTCAAAAACCCAGAAATCCCACATTCACATGTCCCTATGTATGCCCATCCAATTCAACTAACAGTGTCAAATATAACTTTCCAGAAACAAACCCTTCTGTCAAACTAATAAATAGACAAATACCATTGTATATGAGGCAATATGCAAAAACACTTTGATGAACACTATGATATTGGTTTTTGCACATAAATTGCTTCATACTGACAACATAAATGCTTCACTGAAACAGTGAATAGAACTCACTTGAGAACATGGGATGCCATCAGCAACTCAGGCTCTCCACCCCATACATAAGGTTGTCGAATTATTTCCACATATGCTTCAATGAACCTAAAACCCATGAAGAGAATGAATAAGCACTTCCATTCCGATTTAACCATGTGCAATAACACTAAATAATGTACTTCAAAAAAATAAAAATCACACTAACTAATGTACTTCAAAAAAATAAAAATCAAGTTAAACCATACCTATTGTTTTCAATGTGTTTGATGAAGGAAGTCTTGAATTGCAGCAAGGGAAAAGGTTAATTTAAAGGATTGATTTGATGAACTCACCTATTCATCTCAAGTAGCTGGCAGTTGCCAAAACCAAGTGGTCTGCCCGTGCCTGAAGGCACGGTGTAAATAATGATGGAAAAGGAGGTGAGAAAGAAAAACCTGGTGGTGGTGATATAGATGGTAGTCTCAAGTTACCATCTGAGTCATACTTTATTGGCCTCCCTCTCTTCTTCACCAACAAACCACCACCACCAACTACACCATCACCACCTGTGGTGGTGATCTGTAGGCTTCTCTCCATGCTCATGTTCATCACTTCAATAACAAATTGTATTAGTATTAAAAAAAGAAAATAGAACAAATAAGTCCTAAATTCAGACTTGGACATCAAATCAAAGGGAAAAAAAATCCCTATCATTAACTAATGTACTTCAAAAAAAATAAAAATAAAAAAGCACACCAACTAATAGGAAAAAAAAAGAAATAACAAAATCTAAATCAACAACCAAATTGAACTCATCTTGGTAATGAAAAAAAGAAAAGAAACAGAGAATAACATTCAGATTAAAAAGTAACAAAGAATAACACTCAATGGTGTATTAAGCATGCTAGATGATCTTCAACCATATGTGTATTAAGCATACTACACTACCAGTTTTCTTATCATTAACCATATCTACTGTAAGGGAATGTGTTTGATGTTTAACCAAATCTGTATAGATAAATTACAATCAATAAAGATAAATTACCTCCGCAAATGGGCAATGCTTGAGATCAACTCTAACCAGTGATGTTTAACCAAATATAAAAACCCATCTCACAATTTGAACACGCACATACTCTATACTTTGCTACTTGCTGACTGAAAGTCGAGTCAATGCAAATAACCACCTGTAAGATTTTTTTGGGTCAGGAAATTTTCAACAATGCATAACATAAAATATGCAAAGAAATAAACATGTTAAGACCTTAAAAAAAAAAAAATCCATACCTTGCCAACACTTCTACCGGAATGAAGATACTCAACTGCATCTGCAACAGATTTTATAACCCTCAAATACAAATACTTCCATGGCTTTTCATAGATACCCATAGAAACCAAAATAAGAGAGAGACACTCTACTGCATCTGCAACAGATTTTAAATCCCACAAATACAAATATGTTTAATTTTTCCAACACAAACACAAATACAGTTTCAATTTGGTTTGATTTTGATAAGAAAAATACAACAATAATTTACACAACATCAATCTGCCTCTAAATAATCTTTAACTTTATACAATGTCAATCATTTTCAAAGTTTGTCAACAATGAAACCAAAAATAATGTAAATTTTGCCCTTGAGATTGCCACTCTTTCAACACTCATCAATCAAAGAAGTGCATGTTTAGTTTACACAACAATAAATACAAAATCATTAGAGAGATAAGAAAAACTTAAGCTTTAAGACTTAAGCTTAAGTCTTAAAGCTTAAGTCCAAAAATAATGTAAATTTTGCCCTTGAGATTGCCACTCTTTCAACACTCATCAATCAAAGAAGTGCACGTTTAGTTTACATAACAATAAATACAAAATCATTAGAGAGATAAGAAAAACTTAAGCTTTAAAAAATGTAGACCTATAAAAAGGGAGTCAATATTACTATTCGCTTCTAGTCTTCATCCACCTGTAAAATACAGAAAAAAAGCAATATGATAATTAAAAGAGACTACCCAATTCAAAACAAACACATGCATTGTCACACTAATGAAAGGTCTTTTTATGGACCACCCAATTCAAACTAAACACAAACATTGTTGTAAAATAATAATTGGTTACCCAATACAAACACTACGAACAAACACAACATATTGTCAACATAGATACTAATTAATGACTGATAAAAACATTAATTTACACAAATCAATCAATATTTTCTTTGGGTTTTATTTTTTTTTCAATTCTTTCTTTTTGGAACTTCCTTTAATTTATCACATAAGGTTAGAGGGAAAATTTAAGAAGGAAGTGTTCTTAAGAAAGAATTTAATAAAATAAAATTCAGAAAGCAAACTCTTCGCTTGGTAATTCAACAACAAACTCTACCTAACTTAATTCCTCCATAATTTACAAATCAATACAGCCTAAAAAACCCCATTTATTTTGTCTGGTTTAGTCCCATCAATTTTGTGCATGTAACCACCCTCCATCACCTTCTTCAATCTTCACCTACACCCATTCAGATTCATTTTGTTTCCAACCTTAAATACATTTTGAATATTTATTAAGCAATACATGACCCATGTTGAAAAAAAGTCATGAAATTGTGGTTTAGAAGACAGATATAAAACGGGTACTCAGAATGGACGCATTTGATGGAGAAAATGAAAACCGAAAGAAAACGCATTACCTTACATTAAGATAAGTAAGTTTAAAAACAACTAATAAAGAAATTAATATTAAAGTTGCAAAGAAATTGTGAAATTGCATGTTTAATGAATAATGAAAATGAAAATGAGAACATGCGAACTAAACTCGAACATGCGAACTAAATTAGAGTTGATTTTGTATGTTTGTCAAAAGAATAATGAAAATGTTTAAGCTACACAAAAGTATCTACTAACTCCCCGAATCACAATATTACACATTTGTGTGAGAGATAGTGATTTCCTATTTATCAAAAAATAAAACCCAGAGTTGATTTTGTACGTATGTCAAAAGAATAAAAACTAACAACAAAATAATATTTTATACGTTTATATGTGAGAGAGTGATTTTCTATTATTTTATCAAAAAGTAAAAGCCAGAGTTGATTTTGTATGTTTGTCAAAAAAAATAAAAACCAACAACAAAACAAATAAATTAGCAGAGCCAGGTTTCGATCCTGGGACCTGTGGGTTATGGGCCCACCACGCTTCCGATGCGCCACTCTGATTAAATGCAAGACAAATTATTTGTAATTCCTTTATTTGGTATTTTATTGCAGGTGTTCATGAAAAATCTATGAAATAAATCCATACATAACCAAAATAAAATTTAAAAAAAAAATGATGTATAAACACTTAGATGCTAATATGAATAGATAAAAAAAGCAAAATAGAACTCTTAGAGCACCATAATGAAGTGACTAAATTTGGGTGTTAATGTGTCATATAACATAAATATGAGGCCTTGTTTGACAAAGGTTAAAACTTGATTTTTTAGTTTAAAATTCACAAAAAAGATAAAATAGACTAAAATAATTAATAAGACAAAATGTCACATCAAATCTATAATCATTTTACTTTTTCTGTCACAAACAATACATCAAACTACAAAAAATTCTAACCATCTTCCCAAACACAAAAATTTTAACATACTGAAATAGCTAAAAACTAAAATAGCCTACTGAAATAGCCAACTTTCCAAATAGGGCCTAATTTATGTGTTAAAAATTTATTAATTTAGAGTGTACAATGATGTGTTAAAAATTAAAATATATGTTTAGTGATATATATAAAACTAATAAAAAAATAAAAATAAAAATACACGTGATTTTCATATCTTTTCTAACTACTCTGCCATGGGACAATGTGGTTTCCCCCTTTCTCTTTCTTCATGGCTTGGCTAAATGAGTTCAAATCCTCTCCAACATTTTTCCTCCAGAGGCACCGCCTAAATTGGGTCACATCACTACACTAAAAATTTGTGACTTAGATTAGTTAAAAAAGAAAAATACAAAATTCCCTCTGACACTCTCTCTCTCCCTCACTGATGTGCTCTCTCTCTCACTCGTTTCTAATAAAAATTAAAAAAAGTTATTTTAATCTTTTTCATTTTATTTTCATAATATATATATACTACTGTATACCCGTGCCTAAAGGCACGGTGTAATTAATATTGGGATCGAAATATATTTGTAATTTATATGTATCATACCCTCTACATAATTCAATTAAAAATAACAACTCTCCCTAATCTTAATGCAAATTAAGGAATAAACGTATAAAATTTATAATGTTCATTAAAATTAAAATGGTAAACTAATGTTCTACAATTATAATAAAATAAAATTAACCAACCAATGCACACCAGTGCTCTGTAATTCTAAAATAATTTAATTAAAACAAAACAACAAACAATACACACCAATCAATCATCTGTAATTTAAAAAAATAAAAAATAAATTAAGTCAAATCTTATAGAAAACTTTCCAAATGTGAATGTAAGACCAAAATTTGGGTCCTACTCATCACAGATCAGAACACCAACATTTATCTATCGTAGACATTGGACCTATATATACAAAAGAAAATGTATAGTAAGAAGATGAGTAAATAGGTGATAACTTCACAAAATATTTAAAAATTCACTGATTTGTAATTTTTCCAAATTATAGAAAAATTAATAGATAATAAGGAGAAGTGGAACATATTATAAGAAGATGAGTAAAGAGAGCCCATATTATAAGAGAAGCAATTGATTAGATGCATTTCATTGGTACAAAAGAGCAAGAAACCTGTTCTAGCAAAGAAACATGTTGTAGATGAAAAATTAACAATTATACATGAAAACGTTATAAAATTATCATAAATCCAAACACAACCTTAGGGTTTTGCTTGAACGGTACTTGTTTCGAGAAAAATAAAACTCAATAAAATTCAATGTGCAGTACTTAATAGATAATAAGGAGAATTGGAACAGCTAGAAACCATACATGAGATCCACCTTATCAAAACCTACAACAGAGGAATAGATGAAAAAATATTAGAAAAATAAATAAAATATAGCAGATACAAAGAAAAGCAAAATGGGAAGCCTAAACCCATTTTAAACTACAAATTAAATAAGAGCTAAACTAATCAGAAACTTTGGAAACTACGTCATGGATATTCAAAGTGAAAAATAGCATGCTTAGAACTTGACCCACTTGGATTCATCATATGTTGCAAGCTGTGATGTAGTCATAGCAGGGCCAACCCCCTTCCAGAGAGCCGTTATTCCCTCTTCTGAAGCAATTTTTCTCATTTCCCCTATTGCTCCTCTTCTCAAGTTTGGATTCATCTGCAACCGCACCTGAAAAAAGAAGAGCGTTAAGTAAGACAAAGATTTTAGATGTTTAGAAAAGCATTTGAATCGAAATACCTTCAGAACTTCCACAGGGTTGGTCAGCGCAGTTGCAAAGGCACCAGAGAATGCTCCTGACGCAATCTTAACCAAAACACAGCCCGACACAGAAAGAAGGGGAGAGGCAGAAATCTTACCTTGCAAGCCGAGTTCGAGAGGCAGAAGGAGTTGCTGTCGGTGGAGATCGGAGGAGAGAGAAGATCTGAGATCTAGGAGGAAGAAAAGATGAAGAGTTGCTATCAGTGGAGTTCGGAGGCGGCGCAACGGTGGAAGCGGAGCGGCAGTGGAAAGGAGGGAGAGGGAAAGGAAGAGAGAGATATCTGAGGAGAGAGAGATTGACACCTGAGAAGAGAGAAGTGCAAATGTCACACAGTATCTCAGCCTTCAATGAGAAATGCATATTGTTTGGGTTTGTCGTGGGTGGGTGGGACGTTGCAGAGAGAGCGAGAGAGGGATTGTTTTGGGCGGGAATGTGAAAATGTCACAAAATATCTCAGCCCTCCCTAATTAAAAACAACTCATCTCAGCCGTTGAATTGAAATGTATCTCTCATACATTTGAAGACATTTTCAAAAAGTCTCTTGCCTTATTATATAGATGCTACAACATGCAACCATCTTAAGAAAAAAATGTTAGAGCCCTTAAAACACTAAGCTAGTGAAGGCATTTGCACTACAACCATGCAAGGCAAGGCTCATATGACCGAGACAGCTCAAAACAGAGTTAAATCATGCCAAATCAGAGCCTAAAACATGCTGAGATCAAGTCACAAAAAGGAAGAAAAATATGCTCACATGTTAGGCTATCTACACTTGCAAACAAGACACAAGGAGGGGAGGCCACCCCCTCCTATTTTGGACCTCAAAACCAAGTTTTTACCACTGAAATTCTCCTGGAATTCAGTGGTTAAAAGAGCCCAAAAATTTGTTTCAAAAAGCTTTGAAAGATGGCACAAAAGGCTTCATAAGCCAAAGAGCAAAAAGATGAGACAACCCCCTAACTCAACAAGACTTAAACCACCATTTTAAAACCTTAAAAATAGAGTTTTTTATGGTTGAAAAATCAGGTCAAAACAATGTAAAAAGATGGCTACGCAATTGATTAAAACAAAACTAAAATGAGGTAAGCCTTATACCTTTGAAGCACAGCAACAAACAGCCACAATTCTGAGCCAAAACCAGCCTTAAGAACTCAAACTAAGCCTCAAGGAACCTCAGCTCCAAGATGAAGATGTTTGGTCAAGGGTCTTAGTGCAAATGTGTAGAGAATTCTCACTTTCAAGCACAAAATAGGAAGAGAGAAAGGATTCTAGAGAGAGAGAGAGAGGAAATTTGCTCACAAAATTTTCTAACCCCTCAAATGGGGGAGAGACCCTGCATTATATAGAAAAACAAGCCAAAGGCTTGTATTCATCCCTCCATACATGTGTATGGAGATGAGCATCAGTGAACAACAGCTGCCACAACTGGCAAATAAATATCTGAAAAAGGAGAAAAATAGTCGTCGGCCATCATTAGTGGCCGACCGGCCATCAACATAGCCAACCGACCACCACTGGTGGCCGGCAGGCACAAGTCATGGCCAACAGGCTAGGGGGATGGCCGACAGGTCACCCTCTCCTCCACAAGTGAAGTAACAAGCTCTTGGCCCACAACCAAGCACAAAACGGACAAGATTAGAGGCTCCAAGGCAAGGCGCTCAGCCGAGACCTTCAGGGACTCAAAATGAACACGAGCGAGCACAATTAGGAATGGCAACGGGCCAGGACAGGGCCGGAGACCACACTCCCCGTCCCCGGCCTCGGCCCCGATCCCCAACGGGAGACCTATCACCGTCACCGTCCCGAAAATTCCTCGGACCAAATCTATTTCAACAACACCATGAACAACAACATCATCATCATCCCCAATTGTTTCATTTTCAACATCAACATCAATAAAATCATCAACCAATCCACTACCCAAAAAAAAAAGGGACAGAACACACACATACATGTGTATACATACACAAACAATACAGATCTGAGCCTCATATGGAAATACATACACACATATACATACGGAAAAAATGGACAAAATGTGTATACATACGAAAAAAATAGAAAAAACACACATATACATGTATAAATACATACGCACAGTACAGATCTGAGGAGGACGGGAAAAATGGATAGAACACACACATACACGTATAAATACATACACGAACAGTACAGATCTGAGGACGGAGGCGACAGAGGCGATGGACGACGACGGAGGCATGGACGACTGCGACGATGACAGAGAAGGACGACGGAGGCACTGAGGCGATGGACGGAAGCTGTGAGTGCGACGACGGAGACGATGGACGACGATCGGCATCGCGGAAGTGGCGGCGGTAGGCTGAGGAGGAAGAGAGCAGCTTGCGAGAGAGAGAGAGTAGAGGGAAGAAATAGAGAGAGAGAGAGAGAGAGAGAGAGAGAGAGAGATCAGAGAGGAATAGAAAAGTGAGACGGTGGTTTGGTCATTGGTTTATATATATATAGGGGTAAAATAGTAAATTCATTTCGGGGACAACCGGGGACGGGGACGGGGATGGGACACTTATCCCCATCCCCGACCCGAAAGTGATCAAGGATTGATTTTTAAATACCATTCCCATCCCGTTGGGGATATTTTTCGAGAAAAAATCACTCAAAACGGGGTCGAGGAGTTGGGTCCCCGTCGGGCCGGGTTCAAATTGCCATCCCTAAGCACAATCATCGGGTGTTCAAACGATGACGTCCAAGTCTTGAGGACGGTTAAAAATGGGGTGTCTACAAAGGCAATGTAAGAAATACAGTGCAAGGGTTTGTTCAGGACAAGCAAATACAAGGCAGTGTAAGAAATACAATGCAAGAATGTGTTTGGGATGAACAGATGAAAGGCAGTGTGAGCTATACAAGAAATGTAACCTACATTGTAGAAAATAAAGAAAAAATGTATACCTCAGAGGCTCCATGGAATAAATGTGACTCCAGCTCGCGCAGTAAAAGGTCCTTGGGAGCGCCTCGTGCAAACCCCCTGAACTGACGGATGCTATCGGGAGGTAGCACGTGTATCTCGGGATGATACGTCGCCGATTCGAACGGTCAAATGCTGAGCGGCAACGGCTCGAACTCTGGATCCACCTCCATTTCTGGAGGAGCTCCGTCGTGTGGGATGTCGTCCGCCATCACGAGGAAAGATGAGAAAATGGTCAAAAATGTGGAAAATGGGCGGGGAATGCCAAAAGTCAACAAAAGTCAACTCTGAGAGAGGAAAAATGGAAGAAAAGGTCAAAGCTCGGAAAAGTGCGCCAAACTCAAGGGAAACAAACCTCAAGTGGTGGAAATGAAGAAAGGAACACCAAAAGCAACTTTCGATCGGTTCAAAGCGGTGTAAATTATGAGGGTTTAGCGAAGAAAATGTTTTTGGGGCGTTGGAAAACGTGTTCAAGGCTCGGATCTAAGGAGGAAAATGGTCTAGAGTGAGTGGAGAAGAATTTTCGAGCTTGAGGTAGTGTGGAAAAAGGGTTTGGAACCCTATACTTAAAGACTCGTGGTGAAATGCCAAAACTGCCCCAAATTTGCCATTGGTGGTCGACCGGCCACCAGTGGTGGCCGATGGCATTATTTTGTGACCGATGGCTTCCCAGAGTGGCCGATAGGCTTCTAATGCTCTTCTTGGTTGTTTTTATGTTATTTTATGCCCTGATCCCTCAAGAATGTGCAAGGAAAGTACACTTTTAAACTCAAATGTTCTCTGCAGAAGCTCCGAACCATGTTTTCAGTATATAATACTCAACACGTGTGAGGTGTATCCTTTTAGCCTATTACAACTCCTCCGAGAGGTAGGTTGGAGGTTGCGATCGAGTTGTTTCTACCATGCACCGCTTTTGTCTTTGCATAGAATGTGCACCTCTTTGTCATTACATGGAACATGCCTTTCACATGAGGTCTTGCATAGTCTCACTTGCATAGAACATGCATTTGTTATTTGAGTGTAAGTTACGCATTTTGTACGTTTGCATAGAATATGCACGTTTGCATGGAATTTGCATTTCTCACACTTGCATGAATATGCACTTCTCACCTGTATAAAACATACTTTTGTTAATCGAGCATAGAGCATGCATTTGCTACGTTTGCATAGAGTATGCACTTCTCACACTTGCATAGAATATGCACTTCTTGCATTCGCATAGAATATGCATTTGGTATTAAGCATAGAGAATGCTGTTAATCTTGCATAGAACATGCATTCCTATCTTGCTGTATCTGTTAAGTTTCTTTCTTATACAGGCACGATATTGTATGTACGGTTCATTCAAAGCTGGTGCAACCAGACGATATTGTATGTATGGTTCATTCAGAGGAACTCCAGGTAAGATCATTCCTGTCCCTTGAACACCCTATTTTGGTTAGAAACATTGGGATGTGTGCCCGATATTTATACCACCCTTCCGGTTAGAAGCATTTGGAATGTGTTCTGATGCTTATACCATCTCTTTGGTTAGAAACATTAGGACGTGTGCCCGATGTTTATACCACCCTTCCTGTTAGAAACGTTTAGAACCTGTTCCGATGCTTAGACCACCTTGTTTTGGGTTAGAAACATTGGGATACATGCTCCGATGTTTATACCACCCTCCGGTGTTTGCACCACTTTCTTTTCCCTCTAGCGCGTGATGCGTTAGGATGTTTTGGTTAAAAGCATCCAGATTGATTCCAATGCTTATACCGCTCTTTGTTTTGATTGCATAATAATTGGATGTGTTTCATTTGTTATCACTGTTCTCTGTGGTTCGGAACCTTAGGGTGTGTCCCTGGGTTCACGCCATTCCTTTCCTCGCGTGTGCCATGCATTGGAATCCTATTTGCCGCCTCGGGTGCGCCCGATGGTTATGTTGTTCTTTGCCTTTTCTGTGTAATGCGTAGTTAAGATTGCATAATTTTCTTACATCCTTTCCGCATGAAATGTGGTTTGGTTCATAATTCCCATGCGTAGCATGTTTGTTTACTTGCTTATGCATGAGTTTGATGTAGCATTTCTTTGCATAACATTTGCATCTAGATGTTTCGTTACAGTCTCATCGCATGATCATAAGTTGTGCTCTTGCATCGTGCATGTCATTTGCATCTTGCCCCAGAACTACACTGGTTTGATTCCTTACAAAGGGATACGTAGGTAGCCTGTGGACGTAACCACTCTTTGTTTTTGCTTGCTTGTTCGTCCAAGTCTTCGGCCTTGTCAAAAACGTGTCATCTCTGGGCTTTGACATTCACTCTCGTTATTTCAAGACTTCCGAATTTTGTCAAAGAGGGGCAACTGTAGACACCATTTTTTATCATTCTCAAGACTTGGACGTCATCGTTTGAACACCCGATGATTGTGCTTGCTCGTGTTCGTTTTGAGTCCCTGAAGGTCTCGGCTGAGTGCCTTGCCTTGGAGCCTCTAATCTTGTCTGTTTTGTGCTTGGTTGTGGACCAAGAGCTTGTTGCTTCACTTCTGGAGGAGAGGGTGGCCGATCGGCCATCCCCCTAGCTTGCCGGCCATGACTTGTGCCTATCGACCAGCAGTGGTGGCCGGTCGGCCACTGAGGATGGCCGACGGCCATTTTTCTCATTTTTCAGATATTTATTTGCCAGCTGTTGTTCACTGATGCTCATCTCCATACACGTGTATGGAGGGATGAATACAAGCCTTTAGCTTGATTTTCTATATATAGGGGTGTCTCTCCCCCATTTTGGAGGGTTACACAATTTTGAGCAAATTTCTCCCTCTCTCTCTAGAATTCTCTCTCTCTTCTCTTGTTTTGTGCTTGACAGTTGATTTTCTTTACACTTTTGCACAAAGACCCTTAACCAAACATCCTCATCTTGGAGCTGAGGTTCTTTGAGGCTTAGTTTGAGCTCCTAAAGGTGGTTTTAGCTCAGAATTGTGGCTGTTTTGTGTTGTGCTTCAAGAGGTATATTGCTTACCTTGTAGGCTTTATTTTGATAACTTGCTTGGCCATCTTTTTATACTATTTTTGGCCTAGTTTTCAACTACAAAGAACTCTGATTTTTGAAGCTTAATATGGTAGTTTGAGGTCATTTTGTGCTAAGGGGTTGTTTACCCTTCTTGTTGCTTAATTGTGAAGCTTTTTGCACTATCTTTTAGCATATTAAAATCAAACTTTTTAAGCCTTTAAACCACTAAAATTCAGAGTTATTTTAGTGGTAAAAAGCATGTTTTGAAGTCCAAAAATGGAGGGGTTGGCCTCCTCTCCTTGTGTCTCACTTGCATGCCTAGTTAGCATCCTATGGTAGCATGTTTTTGTGGTTTAACTTAGCTTAATTAAAGCATGTTTTAGCTACTATTTTGACTGGTTTTAGCTCTGTTTTAGGCTGTCTTGGTCATATGAGCCTTGTTTTGCATAGTTGTAATGAAAATAGCTTCACTAGCTTGGCATTATAGCCCTTTTAAACTTGATTTGCATGAGATGGTTGCATGTTGAAGTGTCTTTTTACATGTAATTTCAGTGTTTATAGCTCTATCACATGCTCATTTGCTTCACTCTTTCATTGCTTTTTAGAGTTGCTCTTGAGTCTTGTTTGCAAGCTAACATGTGAGCATGTTTTTCTAGCTTTTTGTGCCTTAATCTCAGCAAGTTTTAGCCACTGTTTTGGCATATTTTAACTCTATTCTCAGCTGGTTTGGTCAGTTGAGGCTTGTATTGCATGGTTGTAGTGCAATCTCTTTCACTACCTTAATGAGGTAGGCTCTTAAACATGACATGCATGTGTTGCTTGCATGATTTAGTGTCTTTTTGCACTCCATTTCAGCACTGAAATATCTGTAACCTCCCTCTATTCTTCACTCTTTACTTTGTTTTGAAAGTGGCTTTGAGCCTCTTGTCGGCTTGAGTGTGGAATTGAGACCCTCATGCCTAATGGTTTAATGCCTTCGGGAGTTCATTACCAATAGCATGAGGCCTCTTTCATGCTCAAGGTACTTATGGCTCAAGCCCTTTTTCTATTAGAGGACTCTCACCTTGGACTAACCGGTTAAAGAATGGATCGGTAATTAAAATGAGTAAATAAAACATGACAAGTAAAACTTGGGCAAGTTAAGCATGTTGTGTTACATTGTGTGTGTTTGGATCAAACGTTAATCCAAACACAAGGAAAATGGGACGTTTTATACTTAAAGTGATGAAACATGCCATTTTTCTTGGTCACCGTCGCCCTTGATCATGCATGATAGGGTGGTGTTTGTTTTGGTCTTGTTTGTGCATTCATTAACCTTGTACAAGCTTGGTTCTCTAGCCATCATGCATTAAAAATGCTTGGATGATGGCTTGAGAGCCAAGAGCTACA